TAATCTTATTACTTATTTATATATTATTATGACTGAGTATCTTTCAACAAATCAGAGTGGCGCAGCGGAAGCGTGGTGGGCCCATAACCCACAGGTCCCTGGATCGAAACCAGGCTCTGATAGAAAGAGTGGCTTTCCAGCGTCGCAATTTCTTTTGGCAACGGCGTCGTTTGTGCTTCGACAGCTTAGATTCGAACAGGGACCAAATTGAGAATGTGGCATGTTCCATCGTCAGCAGCTATGTATATATTTCATTATGGCTAAACATCTTTCAACAAATCAGAGTGGCGCAGCGGAAGCGTGGTGGGCCCATAACCCACAGGTCCCTGGATCGAAACCAGGCTCTGATAGAAAGAGTGGCTTCCAGCGTTACAATTTTCATTTTCCCCTCCCAGAGTGGCAACGGCGTCGTTTGCGTTTTTACAGCTTAGACTGGAAGAGAGAGGAAATTGAGAATGTGGTACACTTTCATTTTATTAGTTATTTATATATTACAACTTTCAAATAATCAGAGTGGCGCAGCGGAAGCGTGGTGGGCCCATAACCCACAGGTCCCTGGATCGAAACCAGGCTCTGATATAAAGAGTGGCTTCCAGCGTTACAATTTTTTTCTCCCACAGTTGCAACGGCGTCGTTTGTGTTTTGACAGCTTGGAACTTTAAATTCGTACTGACGTGTCTTAATATGAGAGGAACGTAGTATCGACGATATATCGCCAAAAGAAGCAAGAAAACCAAAATGAAAAATAAATAATACTCTCACCAAAAATCATGTAAAACGAGAAAAGAGAGGATAAACCAGAAACAAACGACACAGCAATAGGAGCCAGAGAGAGAATAAGCGAAAGCGAGAAAGAAAGATTGATAAAACCCTAACACCAAAGAGCCAAAATATCGCGCGATAAGTAAAAAGAAAAGAGAAAAATCCCAAATCTGCAACCTCCGATTATCTCTCCGTCGACTCTCCCCTCTCCGTAAGCTACCTCTCATTTCTCGCTTTATTTCTCTTCTTAATTCAATTATTTATCTCTGTGTGTTTCTTTTTCATTTAATAATTAATATCCATTTCAAACTTTCAAAAGATTTTCTCACTACACAGTGTGTTTGGTTACTGAGAAAATGAGTGAAAAATCTGATACTAGGCCATTTAGGTTTTTTTTTTAATTATCTCATGAAAAGCCATTTAAGGAAAAACAAATGTAAATTAAAGCTGATTTCTGATAGGAATTGGAGTTTATTAGCAGACAAGTTGAGCATTAAAGGATGAATTTTAACGCAATTTTTTCATGCTTTCCTTTGAATTGTTGATAGAATTGGATTCCTGGATTAATTTGTTACTCAGAATTTCATTTATACTTCAGTGATTATTTAATCCAGTGCTAGTTTTAATTTCATTGAAAAAAACACTCATAGTAACGATTTCCCATTTATTCAAGCTAATGCTAATCGTTTTTTTTTTTTTTTTTTTTTTTAAATTTGCTCTCTGTATAGGTGGATGGACGTGGGGGACTGCTAAGCATTTTCTAGTTAATCAGTAAGTTAAACCTTATTGTTCTTATGAATTTTGCTATTTTTTTAGTTTAATTTGATGTTACACAATCAATAGAGGGACAAAAGGATGGTGGTAACCGTTAAGGTGTAAAATGTGCTGATTATTGTGTTATATAATTAATGACTGACAGTGGTTCGAGAAAAAGATGTTTGTTGGGAATATGCTGAGAAGTTAGATGGAAACAAGGTGAAATGTAAATTTTGTTTAAGGGTTTTGAATGGTGGGATTAGTAGATTGAAGCATCACTTATCGCGACTCCCGAGTAAAGGTGTGAATCCTTGTAGCAAAGTGAGAGATGATGTTACTGATAGGGTACGTGCTATAATAGCGTCAAAGGACGATGTTAAAGAAACTTCTAATGCTAAGAAGCAGAAGCCCGTGGAAGCTAAATCTCCTGGAAATGTTACTTCGAGTAGAAGTCTTATGACTGTGGAAGCAACCACTCCAACTCCGGTGGCAAAAGTTTATCCTACTGTCATGCCGATGGCAATGTCGCCTTTAAGCAGTCAAGAGAATGCTGAAAAAAGCATTGCTCTCTTCTTTTTGAAAATAAGTTGGACTTTAGTGTTGCTCGTTCTCCTTCGTATCAAATAATGGTTGATGCAATTGGGAAATGTGGTGCAGGATTTACGGGGCCATTGGCTGACGCGTTGAAGACTACGTGGTTGGAAAGGATCAAGTCTGAAGTGAGTTTGCAATCTAAGGATGCTGAGAAAGAGTGGGCTACCACTGGTTGTACCATCATTGCTGACACATGGACGGATAACAAGTCTAGAGCTTTGATTAACTTTTTAGTTTCCTCGCCCTCCTGGACGTTCTTCCACAAGTCTGTGGATGCATCATCATACTTTAAGAACACCAAATGCCTTGCTGATCTATTTGATTCTGTTATTCAAGACTTCGGTGCTGAAAATGTTGTGCAGATAATCATGGATAATAGTTTCAACTATACTGGTATTGCTAACCACATACTTCAGAATTATGGAACCATTTTTGTCTCTCCATGTGCCTCTCAGTGCTTGAATTTGATATTGGAGGAGTTCTCTAAGGTAGATTGGGTGAACAGATGCATCTTACAAGCACAAACCATATCAAAGTTTATATACAATAATGCCTTGATACTTGATGTAATGAAAAAATTTACTGGAGGCCTGGAACTAATCAAGACTGGAATCACAAAGCCTGTATCGAATTTCCTTTCATTGCAAACGATGTTGAGGCAGAGGTCAAGATTGAAGCAAATGCTCAACAGCCCTGAGTTTACTACAAACTCATATGCAAATAAACCACAGAGCATAGCTTGTATTTCTATTGTTGAGGATGGGGATTTCTGGAGGGCAGTAGAAGAAAGTGTGGCTATTTCTGAGCCTTTTCTTAAAGTGATGAGGGAAGTATCTGGTGGTAAACCTGCTGTGGGGTCTATCTATGAGTTAATGACTAGGGCCAAGGAATCGATTAGGACTTACTACATAATGGATGAAAGCAAATGCAAGACCTTTTTAGACATAGTAGACAGGAAGTGGCGGGATCAACTGCATTCACCTTTACATTCAGCAGCTGCATTCTTGAACCCCAGCGTCCAGTACAATCCAGAAATAAAATTTCTTGTATCTATTAAAGAAGATTTCTTCAAGGTTATAGAGAAATTACTTCCTACACCTGATATGAGACGTGACATCACCAATCAGATTTTTATTTTTACGAGGGCAAGTGGAATGTTTGGTTGTAATCTAGCTATGGAGGCACGAGATACAGTTGCCCCTGGTATGTCTATGTTATGCATTCTATGATTTGTATGAATGTCTGCATATGCATGAGTGTGCAAGTATGAGCTTTTGTCTGATGTTAACTGGAATATATTAATTTGAGGAGAATATGACGTTGTCGATAGCATCCACATTTTCCCCTTGTAGTTGTAGTCCACCATTGTTGTAGAACATTCATGCCCATGGAAGTCGAAATGCTTACATCTAGATCAGTTTTAGCTGCTTCTGGTTTGAAGCTTCTAGGATTTGTTGTTATTTTCTAACTTGTATCCAGCTGTAGGTGAACCAAGTTCTCAAATCTCAAAAACAAAAAAGTGTTGGTTTTTAGGCTAATTGTCTCGACTTCTGGAATGGGTTATTAAGATATTGATTCAAGAGAAGCAGCACTTACATAGTTGATGTCTTTTATATTTGACTCTGGTTATGTCTCTTAAAAAAATTCATCATAGCTTTGTTTTGGTTTCAATTGTCATCTACACATGCTAGAACTCTGCAGCTTCATGCATGCATGCATGCTTATGCAGAAAACTGGACATCTGAAAACACCCTTTTATACACAGAAAACAGCAAGAACACCCTTTGAATTGTGATTTGATGTCATGCTGACAGGTTTCTGTTTCAACTGTTGTAATTGAGTTGGCATGTCGGGCTCGAGTCTTGTTTACTTGCATTTTTTCAAATGTTCTTGTGCTTGTGAGAATATTGTTTTGGTATGTGTCTGTACGAAGTGAATTAAGAGAACTTAAGATTTAGTGTTGACACATTGCAGGGCTTTGGTGGGAGCAATTCGGCGACTCTGCTCCTGTGTTGCAACGGGTTGCCATCAGAATACTGAGTCAGGTCTGCAGCACTTTTACTTTCGAGAAACACTGGAGCACATTTCAGCAAATTCACTCTGAGAAGCGCAATAAGATTGACAAAGAAACATTGAATGACCTTGTCTACATAAACTACAATCTCAAGTTATCAAGACAAATGAGAGCAAAACCTTTAGAATCCGATCCCATTCAATACGATGACATTGATATGACTTCAGAATGGGTCGAGGAGAGTGATAATCCGAGCCCAACTCAATGGCTTGATCGGTTCGGCTCTGCTTTGGATGGCAGTGATCTGAACACTAGATTCAATGCTGCCATTTTTGGTGCAAACGACCACCTATTCGGCTTGTGATTATGCAAGATAGCCCTGTAATCGTTCCTAGAAAGTTAGTTCCTTACTTATTAGTCTCTATCTTTGTAGAATAATGAAATGTAGTAGACTAGTAGTTTAGATTTTCGAGTCCCGTCCGACATCGGTTAGCGGCAGTAGTAGTGGCTTGATGTCGGTATCCTCGTACCTTCATGTAAATATGCCTAGAAAGGTTGGCTTTTTGTTGTGGTAAATCTTTATCTCTTGGCAGACTGATTACTCGAGTCATTTGCGAATTCAATTTCTCCTGAAAAAGATTGTTTAGTTGATAGCTTCGTAAAGTGAAATCCAATGGGCTTCTAATGAATTGAAAAAAGCCCTTCAATTACATGTTATCCTAACCCATCATAGAATAGGTTCAACGTCATAACAAACAAACCTTAAACACGTTATCCTCCCCCTCCATTCCAATTTCCAAACAACTTCCAAGAACTTCCTTTTCTTCTTCGCTTCTTCTTTCTGTCTCCCTTCGTCTCTCTCTCTCTCTCAACAATGGACTACGATTTTAGAAACAGAGCAAGCTCACCGTACGACACGCAATCCCCGATGTACAGATCATCTACGCCGTCAACAGCACCACAACCTAGCCATCCGATGTACGGATCACCTTCTCTCTATCCAAGAGTCAGTCAACCCGGTCACACCGTAATCCCTCCCGTATCCCGCCACCACGCTTTCCCCCAACCACCCTCCTCCTCTCCTTCCTGTAAGTAAACTCATGTGATAATCGGAACATGCCCGTGATACTTTAATCGATCAATTAGCTCATTTGTAAATTTGATTTGTTGTTGATTGGTTGATTGCAGCAGGATTAGGGATTCGAGTTATGATAAAACCGGAGTACCGGATCACTCCTCCTGTATGTTTCTTTATTTTTTTTAATTCATGGTGATTATTTTAGATTTTAATTTATCTGTTATTTAATTTAATTGTGATTTTGATTAATTTGTTTTGTGTTGTAGCCACAATTGGCGCCGCAAATAGGGGATATTCCGCGGAGTAGTTTTCAGTTTGATTTTGAGCTTGAGAGACAGATTTTAGCAGAAGTGGAGAAGGATAGCCAAAATTGGAGTAGGCTGCTTGGTTTGGAAAATCTGCCTTCGAAACCGTTGGAATCGACTTCTTCAATGGTAATTGTTGTTTATAGTTTCCGAATTGACGTACTTTTTTTTATTTTTGTTTAAATGATTGAGTGGATTTGGTTGTTTTTGGAATCATGGTGTGTGATCTGAGAATGTTGTGATTTTTATTAGTAATTTTTTTGTTGGGTGTATGTTGAATGAAGTAGGAGAAATTGCTATAATTGGTTGCTGCAGTGGACTTCACTGTTATTATTGTTTAGAATGAGCCCGGATAATTTGATTGATCTATGTGATGATTAATGATGAAGTAGGGGCGATAGAATTGTTGTTCTGTAACTTGTATTTGGAAAAATTAGGGTGTCATGGAAACAAAGAACGATAATTGAGATTCACCTGATTAGGGATTAGTAGAAGAAAAACAGAAGAAGGAATGTGTAAAGGAGACGGCTAATTGGAAGCCTCTCTTTTGTCACAATTTATGCTACTTTCGTCCTCAGAATTGTCTTCTCTTCCTCTAATGTTTTCTGTGTATAATCTGCCAAGTCCTCCAATTTTTTGTTCTTTTCTCTTTGTTGGAAAATCTAGTTTCAAAACCGATGAAATCAACTTCTTCCTGGGTAATATTATGTGTGTTTGAGATCTTTATAGTTTCTGCACTGACTTAATATTATACCTAGTGGTTGACATCCACACACGCATTTTATTGAATGGATTTAGTTATATTTGGAAATGAGTTGTGTCATTTGAGAACGTTGTGAAATTATAAGCAGTTGTTTCCTTTGAATTTGTGTGAATGGAGGAGGAATTCTTATATAGAATTGATGCATGTAGACCAGATTAATTAAATTGATTGGTGCATTGAACCCCACTGTCCTGTTTGGTTAGACTCGAGGTAAATTGATTGGTGTAGGAATAATTACTCATGAAGTAGGAAAGAATCCTTGTTGTGATGTTGGATAATTGTATGCTAGTTTTTTGTTCTTTTATGCATTTGAGAAACGTGTGTACAGGCTTGATTAGTTAATGAGACAAATTTTCCTTTGTTGAATTATGAAATGGACATTGTTGATAATGCAGGGTTCGACTGCAGATCCTGTAGTGAGAAAGTATATTGCATCAGGACTCAATCGAGATGCTGTACCTCTTGCAGTTGCAAACTATGGAGATAACCCAACAAAGGTATTTTCTTGGGGTTTAGTTCTTTGCTTGTTGGCTTTCATTGCAATATCAAGATGCTAGCGATTTCAGATGGTTGCTATGGTGTTATTATTAGCTAATAATGAGTCCTGACTTCTTTGAGGGTACATCAAACAATGAATTGTGTATTTGAAGGTCTAGTAATGGTAATTGTATTACCTCTCATTTCTAAGCTGGGATTATCAATCCCTGTGCCCGCATGTGTGTGTGTGGTTGTGTTATAGTCCTGGCATTTACCTTTCCTTTCTTGTGATCATCAATCATTGGATTTTAGGCCAATTCCTATAGAATTGCATTCAAAGAACATGGTGTTTGGGCATGCTTCAATGCATCGATACATATACACACACTTGTTAGAGGGAAAGAGACTGGATTGCAACCAGCTTATAAGAACATTTTCTTGTAAACAGTTCAAATGAAATGAATGAATATCTATGTGTTTCTTTATTCCAGGTTCAGGAATTTGTCAATGGCTACACCCTTCTACGAGAAATGGGTTTTTCATCAAACAATGTTGCGGAGGTTTTATTCATGTATGACAATGACACAGACAAGGCATTGGCACACTTCCTTAACAATTCATAATGAGCATACATGAATTAGATTTCTGTGTGATATTGATAGTTGAAGTGACTTTACACAATACTAGTATTGTATGTTTGCCAGACTTTTATATGATTGTAAAAAAGATGTCAGACCGGTTTTTCCTGGCCATTTGCTCGATTGCAATACGACCTATCTTCTAATACTTTTTTTCCTCCTGTTATTAAGGCAGTGCAAAGTTTGGTAAGCATGGACATAGATTCCATTTCATTCTACTTTTCCATAATCTGCACTTGATTCGCTCATGATGGTGAAAGTCTATCAATTGTAATTAGTTATCTGAATGACTGAAATAACTGCTGCAAAATTCTTCTTCCACCTTTTGTAGAAGTTTTAGTTGTTGACTAAATATATTGTTACCTCATAGAAAATCTATCTTTTGCTATACATAGGGAGGGAGTTCTTTGCTCCACAAAAAACTCTGGCCAGTAAAATCAAAAAGCGTTACAGAAGTGTCTTCATCAGCTGGATATCAGTTGTCGACCAAATATCGAAATTGAAAAGCCATCTAGCATCTTGTATGCATCAAGATCTAAGCGACGCTTGATTAAATAACTATTGATGCATCAAGTTTTGCAAATCAGAAATTAAATCAAGAGTTAGAAGTAAAGAAACTGCAAATCGATGTTGCAGAATTCTACGAGTACGGAAGGTGGGATGAGCCTTTTCTTCACTGAAAGCTAACTTGGTTTATTTGTTTTTATAACAATGATTGTCCACAATGCTCCATCCATGAACTGAATCCCTAAAGAAAATGATTTAATACATCATCTTGATAACCAATAATCTCATTGAAGTATGAACATCCTCCCTTCTATTTCATCGATGATAGAATCATCGGTGTGCATGTTACATTCCTTATATAGATACAAAGCACACTCTATCCCATCTAACTCACCGATACAAGATGCTGCTCTGTAGTCAGTTTGTGTGGATCCTCAAGTCTCCTATGTGAAGTCTATCAAAACACGACAAGCATAAAATCCTGAGGGCCTAGATGCCTGAAATTGATTTTGAGGGGATCGACCATGCCTGCCACCTTCATGTTTGGAGAACTTCAACCAGCTAAGGATATAGAGCAACACTGTCTTAGTCTATTTCCTATTTGCTTCTTAGAATCTGGAAACGATTCAAACTCCGGAACAAATTGCTCCTGAAAATGAAATAATAATTGCCCCATAAGAAAAAGGGAAATAAATCAATCTGAAAAAAGTTTGCAACTTTCCATTTATATAACCCAACAAATTTGTCCGCCAACAATTCTTCCTAGGCAGGCTAAAATCCCGTTGGGTCAGGACCTCACCAAGGCAACATAATGCAATTCAAGAATGGGGTCTCTGAGAGAGATAGAGAGAGAGAGAGAGACCTGATGACCAAGAGGAGCAGCAAAACTTCCCTTCATCAACATGTACGACATCAAGCCCAAGAAACCAGGATCCAGCACTGACATCATCATGTGCATAGGTTCGAAGAATAGATCTGCACTCAATAATTTTGGATTCAGACAGCTCCATGCAGGTCACAGGTCACCTAACAGATGCAACGGAATGAGAAAAGAATTTACCTATTTATTGACACAAATTTAGCTAAGGCTCGTGATATAACATACATCTCGCCTGAAGCATGACGAAAATACCTGTTGAATGGATGTTAGAATATCCAATTTAAAAAGACAAGCATGGAGTAGTAAAACTAAACGAATACATAACAAGCCTCTTGTTCTAAATTCTACAGCATTAAATGTGTAATTGATGCAGATAGATTACAATATCATGCATTCAGATTATTAGAGTATCGACCAGTTATTGAAAAACAGTTTGTATTAAATGGGAATTTTAAACCAAGAGTGCTTGATTAACTTGAAAGTTGGCGTTAATTGTAACCAGGTACCACCTTTCAATTTTTATAATGATGCACTACGACCAAGTTTAATGACATTTAGTTTTCGACATGATTCCACATGGCTAGTTATTAGTGAGAAACAGATCATATGGCAAAGTTGCATTGTGAGAAGAAGAGAATAACTTCTTCATTTCAAACAGTTGTTCACAGTGCCAGGGTTTAGGTATGCTGCGAGTTTATTGAGCATGTATGTATTGCACCCAAAAAGTTTATAACAAATAAAACCAGAAGATCATGAGCAATGTCGATGCCCACTAAAATACCATTCAGAGAAATTTATTATACTTATATCTTGCAAAGACGTAAGAAACAGATTTATGAGTTGGAGATATCAGAATAATGGTATGTCAAGTCCTTCCGTACAGAAGATAAATTTCATTAAAGCATAACTTACGATTTCTTATCCCCGAACTTCCACCAATCTGGTTCATACCATTTATGACCCCTGCCAAATTTCAATAGTAGAGTTTGAAAATGAGAAATCAATTGTTTAAAGAATCACAAACCCATCTCCACTTATGTAAAATTTTATCCTTGATTAACTTTTAAGGAGAAACTCACGGTTCGGAGAAAACTTGGCCTGATTTCATACAACCAATATAAACACGAGGCTTGTCAAAATGAGCTGCCAGTGCAGTTCCTAAAGCATCTGCGAAGAAAGAAAAATTATGAGACAAGTGGACAGGCTTTCTTTCATGAATTCAAATAAGCTGGAGAGATTCAATCCAGAATACAGTAGTACTGCTCGTCAGAAGACCTGATTGAATATTCCTAATGTCTTTTCAGATTAGCAGGAGATAAATTAAAAAAGAAGAATGCTGTTCATACTTTTAGTATGTGATTATCTACAATCAATGTTGCTAAAAGGACTGGGCACAATAAAGGCCCAACAGCTCTTGAGAGAGAGAGAGAGAGAGAGAGAGTAAAAGGAAATAAAAACAGAGAAGGCAGACGTTTCCCCACAAAAGAAAAGAATTGATGAAGTGCTCCTCAGATTGTGTGCTAATTTACAGGTTCAGAAGCACATCAACCCTGAGGCTAGATGCCTAGCATGCCTCAGTTGCAGTTTCAACAGCACTTAATATTTGATTTATACTACATTTTTTCCAAAAAAAAAAAAAAAAAAGTTTACTTCATCCTTCCCGACACCAAAAAACAAAAAGGGATATAAATACGAGGTTGGGTCCTGCACTAGAGTTCATGCCTTGGAAACTGAAGATTTGCAATTCAAAAGGAAGTATATCTCAGAAACTCTAAAAACTCCAACTACCAGTATAGAATCCTCAACATGAAAGTGTCTTAATCTTGGTAAACAACAGTTCTATGCCCTGGTGATTAAAAATTCATCCTCTATTTTGTAATGGTTATATCATGCCAATTGCCAGACTCAAGTCAGCTTTGAGTGTATATATATATATATAAACTTACATGCTTCTTGATAGACTGTTACTGACAAACAAAGTTGCTTAGGGGAACTTATCAGTCTATTGAATTAACGAAAGAAAAAAAAAGAATTATTTGGTCACGCAAACTATGAAACAGATAAAACCAAAACTCAGAAGGCCATGACATATTAAAACATCTTTGATAATACTAACCAATAGTCACATAGATATTGTCATTAACTTTAGCATAAAACTCCGCATCCCATCTATCAGCAGCATAAGCAAAGAACAATCTAGCCTTTTTGGGAAGGCCCTCTGTTCCCTCCACAAGGTCATTCTGTGAACAAAAAGGAATGAGTATTTGAGCCTATATAAGAAAGGGCTATAAGTAACAACTAGTTGAGTCCACATATACAAGGGTTGCTCCGATGCTTTTGGAATTATTATGCTTGTGGTATTTTTATCACATGTTATGACTTCTTATCTCTGCTTACTAACTCACATAAAAATGTTCAGTTGGCCTATGGATCCCATATTTAAGAAGTTAAGAAGCTTATACAATGACTTGAACACATCTTTATTCAATGGGCCTGTTTTTTTGTTTTTGATGAATAATTCAATGGGCCTGTTAAATTATAAAGGGAAAGAATAAGAATCATAAAATCATGGCATTTTCAAACCAAATATCTTATGAACATACAAGAATGATGAAGTCATTAGTCTGCCTGTTTTCCTTGTCAATACTACGATCCAAATTGTCCCCAGGATTTGCACTGCAAGAGAACACAGAGAACCATTTTTATGTTTTCAGCATGGTCAATGACAGAGAAAAGGAGCACTAGAAGGAAATATTACTACAACAAATTGAAAATATCAACAACACATATGCATGGATACCTTCTACCAATGACAAAGCGTGCAACTATGCCCTTCTCATTCTCCATTTTTTTCAACATTGCACCTGAAAGGACGGAGGTTGACTTTGAGACTCAAAAAAAATATCATTAAAAGACATAAACACCATTGATGTTTCATGCAACTATAGATGAACAGAAAACCAAGTAAGTTAGAAAGAGCGGACTGTGTCGTACAAATATGATGCACAGGCTAATAAATCCTAGCAAAATATATCAATCTTAAGAAAAGAAGGTCGATCAAATAATTTAATGACAATAGTTGTAACAAAATTCACTAATGCATTCAGAGGTCCTTGAATAATCACTAGCATTCTGCAAGGGTGCTATACTTCTTATTGGGACACATCTATTACTTGCTTTTCTGCTGTAATTGTCATCTCTATACCACCATTTCTCATTTTGAGCCCTCAACTACCCAAACTATGCCTGCTGCTTTTGTTGTTCTTAATTGCTGCTTTCCTAGTTCCTACACATCTACTTTCGAAATGACGCCAACAGTACATTCAATTGTTATACTGTCTGGGACTCCATCTACAGCTCTCACCTTGGTTCATTTCAGATGTTATTTACAAATTTGGAAACATGTCTCCGGTAGATTGATGCCATGAATATAAAAAAAAAAAAAATCCAACATTTAGTTTTTTTATTTATTTGGTTTTAAAAAAAAACTACTCGTATAATTACAATGAATCCTAGTACTGCAGCATCACTATTATAATTCTTGCCATCATTCCTCTCTTAGTCATATTTCTGCAGTACACCCCAACTCCATACTTCTTCAAAAGACAAGGTGACGACTTTTATTTTCCAACCTAAGCAAAAAAAATCTCACCCAAATAACAAGCAAAACAAAAGCAAAACCATGAAAGCACACTATATCCTACCAGTTCCCATCCATGCCTTTCGGACGGCATCCCGATTGTTCTTATTGCCAAACCTTGTCATTATCCCAATCACAACAAGATGCCTTTTCTTTGCATGAGCCCCATCATTCTCTGTTAAGAGCTTTGAAGTAAAACCCTCTTGCTTAGCTGCGGACAATTCTGTCTCCAGAGCTGATAACTTCTTTTGTTGTTCCCTAACACAGACCATCACCGTCATCAATAAATCACAAAACAGGTAAAGGATATATCATATATCAAATCAAACTAACAATCATATTACCTGCAGGCTATTATTTTCAATGTATCATCCACTGATATTGCAGATTGGCCCTAAGATGAAAAAACCAATATTACGTTATGTTAAATGCAAACATAATACATCAAATTTCATGTCTTTTTAATTAATCCAATCTAAAAAATCCTCAAGTATCCAAATTACAAAAAAACCCACAAACGAAATAACATTCAAAGACATTAAATAACAAAAAATTGAAACCCCACCTGTCCAGTTATCCTATCAAGCTCCTTAATCAAATAAACCCTGTTTTGTGAATCCTGCCATAACCTATAATCCCACATCACAATTCAGACCAAAACAAGAAAAACACTAAATAAAGTTTCAACCTTTCGTAGTCAAAACAAACAAAGTTTTAAGTTTTCTTAGTAATTGGAATGTCTATCAATTATGAAGAGGATAAGATTAGAGAAAGAAACAAAACATACCTGCCAGCAATATAAATGGAAGCAAAAGTAGCAAACATTGAGAGTAACAAAGTGGAGATTCTTGATCCAGAAACCATACTCGATGATGCCCTGTTACTATTGAATCCCTTACTACTACTAAGCATCTTTATAGTCTTTTATTATCAGAATTTGGTGGGATTATAGTGAAAGAATTTTATGTTATTAAAAGGTAAAGCAAGGAAAGATCTTGTATTCAAAATGCAAATGTGGGTTTTGTAATTAAACACGGGATCATGTGAGTAAGTCGAGTTGATAGAGAGGTTGGTGGTCTGTTTGTTGGAATTAGCCAGCTGTTGGTGTCTTTGAGTCTTGTCTATGACAGTTTCTTGGGTTGGTCTCTGTGAGTTTCAGTTCTACAGCCCAAAGTAACGATCTTTTGCTTTCTCAAAATTGAAAACCGACCTCTGCCTACTCTTTTCTTCTTTTTATAAATGATTATGTTATCATGTTACCTCTAAGTTATAGACTTATACCCGAGTAAATTATAAATTAGTCCCTCTTGTTTAAAGAAACGAATTAATTAGACCCTTTTCTTTTCAAAATTAATAATTTAGAGCCTTGCATTTTAATTTAGTCAATAAATTTATCTTTTCATCGATTTTTCATTAAATTAGAGATTTTTCCATTCAAATTATTCTTTTTAAAATTTTTGATTGAGGAAGAGAAAGAGAGTAGGTAAAAAAGAAAAATAATGCATTAAAAAAAGAATAAATTGAGAAAAATCACTAATTTAACAAAAAGCTGATGAAAAAATTAAATTAATGATGGAATTAAAATGCAAAATAGTAAATAATTAGTTTTAAAATAAAAAATAATTTATTTATTTCTTGAAACAAGAGGTATTAATTTATAATTTACTCACTTGTACCCATAACAATTATATATAAAAAAAGGGTTTCAGATTTAGGCTTTGTACTTTCTCGATTTTTTTTTTATTAAAATCTTCTACTCTTTTATAGCTTGATCAAAACCCTCTATTTTTCAAAATTTTTTACTTCGGATCTTCTATTATAATATCATTAATCGGTGGTTGAAAAGTAATCAAGATTTCTTATTTTATAATATCCCGTGTCGATTATTGATTGGTAGCATTATAATGAAAGATATGAATTAAAAACTTTTAAAAAATAAAGGATCTCAATCAAGTAAAAAAAATATAGAGGGTCTCAATAAAAAATAAAAAGATTGATGATAAAATAAGAGATTTTTTTAGAATAAAAATAATATTAAATCAAACATGTTCAACTGATTAAGAAACTAAATAATAGTTTTTGAAATAAAAAAAGATTAATTAATTTGTTTGTTGAACTTAGAGGGACTAATTTATAATTTACTCATTAGATTCATCAACCAAAAAAACCCATAGGCTCAATAAAGCCCATATAACTTTCTTCTCCTTCACCGACAAGGCCTGCTCATGTGGTTTGGACCTTAGGATTAGAGTAAAAGAAGAGCTCTCTTGCTTAAAATGTCCATGTTGGTCCAAAATTGCCTATTCTGTTGAAAGCCCATGAGCCCATTAGTAGTGGATCAATCATTTGTTGCTTCTTTTTTACACCCTAAAATCAAGTCAAAAATAACAAAACAAAAATAGGTCTGCTAGACCTAGGGATTGTAATTAACAGATGTCTATTAATTCAATTTTTTTTACTATATTTATTTTAAAAATACCAGTATTATTTATTATAGCCCCTGTTATGAGTTTTTTCTTTTTTCTTTTTAATGAATGATACGTCGCTCGTGCTGTACGCAACACATGATGCGTGGTTCGTCTACAATATTTGATGAATTCGAATTGTAAAAAAGTTTACTGAAAAATCAGGAGAACTTTTTTTGGCGCCCCCGAATTTAATTCCAACATTATTTTTATCTCAAAATATGTTAAAAATATTAAAATAAGATAAAAAAACTCGTTTTAAAATCTTAAAAATTATTTTAATACAGACATAATATGCAAAAGTCTATATCAAACTTAAAAAATCAATATATTATGAGGTTCCAATCTATTTCTTTTAACAATTACATATTTTATGTCCACTATAAATAAATTTTATTTTTAAAATAAATAAATCAAAGTCAATATTGAGAGTTAAAATAATAAAAATAGATCTTATCGTGATTTTCTCTCTCCTTTCTTTTTTTTTTTTTTGTTTCCATGTTCTTTTTATATTTAGGGACCAAGCCATCATATAAATAAAATTGAAAATCAAAACAAAAGTAATTAAAAAAATTAGAAACTAAAATATAATATTTATAAAAACTTACATATCAAATTCCTAAAAATAACTTGAAAATAACAATAATACTGTAAAAAAAAAAACCACACTAAAATAGAATTGAACCCCCAATATCATAGAGTCTGCATCTACTATAAAAGGAATAATGACCGAATAGTAATTGAGCATTTTCGTTTCAGTGTTTTTTTTTTTTTTTTTTGGTAACAATGAAGGTGACTTTCTTCATTGCTTACCGTTTCTCCTATCATTTCCATGTGCGAGTGAAGAATTCATGATCATACGAATTTTACATAATTTATTTATTGAAAAAAAATAACAATTATTCGAAGAAGGATACCTTTCTGAGCATCAACGACAAGATGGGGTCTCTGCTTAAAGGGTGAAAGGAGAGATTTTTATCAGAAAGAAATCCTCATCAAGTCAGCGGCTACATCCTTTCCTGTGGATTCCATGGCTTGTTTTAAATTCCCTCGCTCTCCGCGCAAGGACATAAATCGTATGGTTAAAAATTTTTGCTGGGGTCAAGAGGATTTTAAAAGAAAAATTCACAATATTAAAAAATAATATAAATCCGAAACTTTATCTGTTAAACTTAATTTTTTTAAAAAATAATCTTTAGATATAATATTAAAATTTAATTTACCAAATGATTCTAAATTTAAGTCTCATTGTTTTAATTTTTCTCAATATTAAATATAAGATAATATAAATATGTGTAAATATCAAATTCAAATATTGAGTCTTCACATAAAAAATATATTAAAAAATAATATAAATTATATTTTTAAATCCTACTGAGCGGTTTAATTTATTTTTTTTATAATGTTTTAATACGGAATTAGAATTTTGATGATGAAATATTCGAGAGTCACTTCTCGGGAGCAGTAGTCATGATCCCAATCTGGTCGGCACATTTCAGCAGTCACTACTCATTAATGGCTGAAGCTGTCAGTTCTGGCTTTTTCAATCTCAGCAAAGCACATCTCATTAGCCAAGAGGCTGCAATGAATATCAGCTGTCACTTCTCATTTATGGAATTATATCTGGCAAAAAAATATAATAAAAAATAATAATTGATACATTTGTACGTAACGTATTAAATAAGTAAGTTTTATTATTAATGAATTTTATGAATTTAAATTGTGCAAAACTATTACTCGTTTGTGATTAATGACTTGATGGATGGAATTGAACTATGGGATGTAAGCAGGAGTTATGGTCCATTCAAAGTATTTTAAATTCTTTAGTGAATAAAATAAAATAAATAAATTATTAATCCTTGATGATTTACCATGAACAAGTTGAGCTTATGCTAAGAATATGATTTGGGTGGATAAATTATTAGTTTAATTATAAACGAATTAATTTTTAAATAATTTTTATTAATATGTAATTAAAAATTAAATTTTAAAATCGTATTTATAAAAAAAAATTAAATTTTATCGTTCTAATTCCAAATATAATTAATTGAAAAAAGTTTTTTTTTTTAAATTATTATTATTATTTCTTATAGGTTCTTTTTTTATATTTATCTTTTTTTTCAAAAAAGGATTCATATAATAATTATTATATATATATATACATTAATTATTTTTTAAGTATTATAAAATTTCTCAATAAATACTCCTTGAATATGTGATTAGAGGGCAACTGTCTATCTTTTGGAAACGTGTCATTACCCTTTCAAGCATTTAACTCTATTTGTAACACAACAATAAAAATTAAGAAAATTATAGTAATTTAGTTAATTCCTTTATTTTTATCTGGTTATAAGTTTACCTTTGTTTTTTTTTTTTTTAATTGCAACTCAAGATGGATTATTTAGTATATTTAGAGTTATACTCCCCATTTTTATATAAAAGTGAGATCAATTAATTGTTTTCATGATAATTCTCTCTCTCTCTCTCTCTCTTTTTTTTTTTTTTTTGCGAGAAAAAGAATACAACTTCGAATATACCTATAGTTTTTCACAACTTAATATATTTATTAGATTATATCCATTTTGTGAATGCATGAATTGGTTATTTATTACTTTTGTAAACTACCATTGCAATCCACAGGCAGTTTTGATGATAAAGCTACGAATAAATTTGCTTCACAGACATAGATACAATGACTCAAATAAAAAAAAATTAGTTTACAGACTTAGTTGAGAATTGGTAGAGAAATTAGAGACTAATTTGAAGTTTCCCTGAGAACACAAAACCAAACCATGTACTACAAGCCAAGTGGAATATTGCCTCTCGAATTAGAAAACGAGTAACGATAATTCAAGTAGAAGAGGAGAAGAGTAATACGTCCACAAGATCCACGGCTTTGTTGGAAAGCAAAAAGCAAGACAAAAGACAAAACAAACATATGTCAGACTGAGAGATCAAACGTCAGCCATGACGATATATGACTCTCTTCCATACCAATATCGTTCCTTCTTTTCTTTCTGTTCTCTCTTCAGAAACTACAGTACTCATCACTTTCTCTCTCAATTTATTGAGAGAGCTCAAAAACGTTAAAGAAACGTTGTCCATTGGCCAACACAAAAAGCTGAGGTTGGTCATTTTTTGGGGCCTTTAAATTTTGGGTTTGGTGCAATTTTCAGGCTAGTGTTTCTTAAACTTGCTGTTCTTTTAAAATATCATTCATCAGCCGACATGATACTGTTGTTTTGGTTTTCACTTTTTTAATGCATTCTGAATTCTCGAACTGTGTTTCTTCCATTCTTTGTCGGCTTAAAATTTGGGTTTGGTCCAATTTTTATTTCTGGTTAGTGAATGTTAAGCTTCTGCTTCTTTCGAAATTATTTTCACTTGTTTCTGAATGTACCCTGAATTCTTTCAGGCATTATTTCTTCCTTTTCTTTTTAAAACAAG